GCGTACTTCTATAGTAGCACAAAAATAGATAGCTGACATAAATCTCCGGGAGACAGGACTAACGTTTTCCACCTCTCACGCGCTCTTCTTTCTACGATTTAATCTGCTGCACTAAAAATCCAACTTTAACTTGACTCAGGAGACCAACTTACTCCCCCACTTCCCGAACTCATGATAGTGGGCCAGAGACCACCAAATTAGGCTACTTGGAATTACTAGTCAACTGCCAGTCAGATCGAGCCGGCAGCTAGCTCCCACCAATTGGCAATCATGGACTTATCGTCTACTTGTAGAACTAGAAACCTTTAACTTCATCAAAGAATCAGGTATAGCCACAACTTACAAAATAGGTTTTGATATATAACCAAACCTAAATCTCATTACAATGACAAAGCAGTTATCACCCTGTATCTAACCCTCTGGATTCAAATCAAGTTTGAAAATTGACGTAAAGTAGAAAGAGTACTATCCGACTAGAAGACTTCCTCTTGTTAGGATCCAAGAAAACCTTAAAGCACTATCTCCTCCAAACGTCTTCTTCCCATTTAAAAAAGAAAATTGCCATTGAACTGTTATTTGTGCCTTATACATGCTTCTAGACCCTATGAGGCCAGCATAGGGCCAGGCACAAACAAGTTGTGCACCAGCGCAAGAATGACCACGGACAGCAAAGGAGAAAAAGGACAAAGGTTTAGATAGATCATACAGTTTGCAGATATGTATGTTGACACATTTCATGGTATCATGTAGTTTCGCATTGTCCATCTACATGGATAGCATGTCTGCAAATGCTATTTCTGGACATTGACATGGCAAGGTAACTTATCAGACCAACACTTAGCCTCTCGAACACTCAATACAGCACATACCGATATGCTAATTGATGAAACAATCAAACAACAATGGGTTTATATTCTACTCCCTCCGTCCCAAAATAAGTGACTCGATTTTGTACTAACTTTGTACTAGAGCTAGTACAATGTTGAGTCACTTATTTTGAGAGGGAGGGAGTATTACCCTTCCAATCTACATGGACTGATCATTCCAATTGTGCAGTTTTAGGCAGTCATGTCAACACTGGAGAAACAGGGATTGAAGATCAATGTTCCCAAGGGAGAAGATGTGCAACACCTAGTTGTGTGTGCCTGATATTTAATCTAGAAGAAATAATCATGAAGATAAATACACCCAAATCAGACCATCTGTTCTACGCTTAACTAAGAGAAAAGTAGTAACAACTACTGATAAACATGTACAAACAATATCGAAAATAACCTATTCCACCAAGCTAATTATTCAGGAAGCAGTAGTGAATGAAGATTATAAATGACATCAGGTGGCTACTGAAAGCACACGTTATACTGCCTGAGGTCTCACGCTTGGTAAAATCCGCATCGGAAACAATCCAGTTGCAACCAATTTGCCCATAATTTTAGGCGAATCTCCTAAAACCGATCTTGAAAGTAAGCTTGAGATGACCGACATATCCATCGCACATACCTTGTCCGGATCAACCCAAACCTAATCGACCAAATCGACATCACGACGCCAACAAGCTATGTTGAACTGACCGTGTTTGCCTAGATACAGCAACAGTGCTGCGGCGAGAGGGGGGAGCGGGGTGTGCTTGCACATACCTTGGTCGATCTCGAACTCCTCGAACTCGTCGTCGTCCTCGAGGAGGTCCATCTTGGCGGCCTCCGCCTTCGCGTCCGCCGGTGCTGCCGCCGCCATCGATGCTGGTTCTAGTATCTAGCTGCGACGCGGCCGAGTAGATCAGAGGGTTAGCAGAGAGATCCGGATAAGTTCGTGCGCGCGTGCGTGCCGGGGATTGTGGGGGAGGACGAGGGATCAAGACCGCCACCTACCTGATTCGCGTGGAGAAGAAGAAAGGGGGAACCCTAGACCTGGGGGCGGCTGCTCGTGGGGAGAGATGCCAGGCCAGCCTGATAGGGTCGAAAGTTAAAACAGAGGCTCCAGCCTCCAGCAGCTTCTCGGCCTATTGTTCGGGTCCGGGTCCGCTTGTCTGCGGCTTCACCGACTGAAGTGACTCTACCACTACCTTGCGAGGGGATTTTTGATCTACGGGTGTATATACGTACATCTTAGATGAAAAAAAATTGAAATGTTTTCAAAATAAACTTGACCTTTCATTGCACTTGTGAAAAAATCCACAAAAAGAAAAGAACCCTTTGACTGCTTTTCGAACAAACAAATTTTCAGCCAAAATAGTATGAATAGTGACCTGAAATAGCAAATAATTATTCTTTTGCCCTAAAGTGAACGCTGGTTTGATTTAACCAAAATTTAGGCCTCCGTGAAAGGAAAACGAAATTTAGGCCATGAAAAGAAGGCCTATAAATTCAGTTGTGATAGCCAACTCTTATGCTTATGAAATCACTGCCTTCCATGGATCACGGGATTCAAGCCTCTAGTCATATACTAGCTTTACCCGCGCGGCGACACGCCGCGCCCCGTCGATAAATGATGTTAATAAGTGGTTTTTTTCTTGTATGCAATAAATAGAACGTTGGTCCATTCAATCAAAGTAATAGAACTGTGTTGATAAGGTTGTATTGTCAAAAAGTACATTCATTGTCACCATGTGGTGCATCTTAGGCAAACAGGAAGTACACGTTGACACTTTTATAATAGGACATTTAGTTCTTACCTACATCATTCCACCTTTATTTCTGGTCTAATGTGCAAGAAAATTCAACAACACTAAATTGCACGTGCCATCCTGACTTCTTTCAACTTTTGAACTAAATGTGGGAAAAGGAATAAGTATTTCAATAGCAAACGCAAATTTTTCTGTGTGTGTTTTGGCGTGGTATATTGTCACCGTAGACGATGTTGGTGGCACTACTGGATCAAAGTATGCATTATTCCTTGGATTCAACATATTTTATCTCAAACTATATGCTCAAGTCTGCACACACATATTTTGCCCCGCTGCATCATAAATAAAATTGTACTGTATATGATTTCAGAAAAAATAATGTTTACAAATGTTATTTCAATAAAGCAAGCAACCACAAAATCAAGAACATACTAAAAGTGTTGCAATTCTATTATATGAGAGTTCAATACTTAGTAAACCAGATCCATGAATGTTTACAACAATATCTGATTTTGGGGGGGAAAGTTGTGTTTAGAAGCCACATGTCATATGAAGTTATTTAAAGAATAGTTGTCCTCAATAAGAGGACTGGAAGCAAAAGAAAAAGTAGTACATATTAGAAAACCAGGTGTGGCACTGAGAGGAGTGTCACATCTAAGATGATTCCTTGCGCTCCGAGAAACTGAAAGTAAAAAATTGCCACCCAATTGGGAAATTGTTCACTAACTGAAGCAAAATGTTCTCTTACTGCTGAAAGAAGGAACATCAGTTAAACTTCTTACAACCCATACATATTTGTGCGTTAAGAAAGATAAATGCTCTAATTTATTTTTCAAAATTGGCAAGTTCTATCAAATATAAGATATGTATTAAAAAAATCACCACTAAAATAATGGGTAGAGTTTTACATACAAATTGGATAGATCAACACCGAAGGTAAATAACATGCCACGCGAAGAAATAGGCATGGAGACTACCCAAACAGCTAACACTTGTGCTTTCAGCCATCCATGTCATGCTAGCTTAAACCGCCTTACTTGACTTTTTCCCCATATTTTTCAGCTATCAACCCAATCTTGTTCTTTGTGCAGAACACACACTGCTATGAGGTCTAGTGGTAGGATTGACTAGCCTGGAGCGCTCCCGGGATGTGCATGTTCTTTCTGCAAACTAAACAGCCATATGAAGCAGAACTGCCAATTAAAAATCCCATTTTCAGTGCTAGATCACGAAGGATAGTAGAAACAATCAATGCACCATAAAGTGGTGTGGTTTTGTACAGAAGTTTTGCAATCTATTGTAAATTGTTATTTACAACAACTACCTGTATGCAATCGTCGCAGAGAATACACTATAGAAAATGTTAAAATATAGGAGGTCAGACCATGGCCGACAGCACAAAAGCATGAGTGTCTTGTTCTATACATATAACTATGCTACATATAACTATTTTTTCAAGTACAGGGGCAATATATATTCCTTGGGAGAACACGAAATTGTAGAACTTGATGCATACACCTGCATATATAACGCTGCCCATTTTGCATAATTCTCTGCCATCAGTCGTTCTTCTTCATATATGATTATGCAATTCTCTTCGCTTTTAGTAGGCGATCGAATATCATGGTCCAAGCAAAGGCCAGGTATGGTCAACAAATGAGGCTGCCAATGCTCATTGTTATAATCTCCGTCTTCTCCATATATGCAAAACGCTCACTCATTGTATCAGCAAAAACAACAACTTAATTGGCAGAAAGATTGCCTATATATTACAATTGCTACTCATCTTAATTTGAAAATCAAATATCTCTGAAGCACAATTTACTTCCGAGAAATGCCTGAGAAACTATATCTTTCTTGAGATGAATATGTTTAAGCCTATTTTATGGAATGCAGAAGCAAAGTTTATCCAGGAAAGTCACACAATATATTTCAACTAGTAGCAGTTGTCTCTTTATGTGTGAATGCCCTGAGGTTTTTGCAAATATCTTCAGTTTTTACAATCAAAAAAATTAAGAAGAAGACCATGTATACTGAACAGGATCTTACTTCTGGTGGTGCAGCACACAACATGGAAAAGCAGTGGTGCTTCCTTTCTGGGTTAGATATTTGACAAACACGTGGCCTTTCCAGAAGATAAGTCCTCATGAAAATCTTCCATTGCAGAATCAAGAAAGGTAAGATGTAGAGCAGAAGTCCTTTGAAGATAATAAACATAGTGAAGTTGTGTAACTCAATTAATAGACATCCAAGAAGTAAAGGACGATGCATCACATTTAGGTTCATTACCTCAAATTATTATTCCTAACTATTTTTCCATTGCCAAATGCCTCAATATCAGGATTTGGCTGTGTCAGATGAGTAGCATGTCAGAAACTCACGTCCGATGTGTTTGTTCTACCAACAAAAGAAGGGTGCAAAGTTCCACTGAGAAACACGCCTCTAGGATTTGTTGTTGCACTGACCTTCCCTCAGCTTGAGGTTTACCGCCCATAAAAGCAAGATACTGCATAAGACTTTTAGTGCTTTCTGTCTTGCCAGCTAATATTGGTTGGCTGATACAATCACTGATCATAAGCCTGGGCAAAATAAACATACACTACTAGGGAAAACCTTATACATAAAATGTTACCAGTAGCGCTTGTTAAAATTAGGCGCTACTGCTACTTAGCAGTAGCGCGTCTGCTAGAATGGCGCTACTGTTACACGCTTAGTAGTAGCGCGGCAGGAACAGAACGCGCTACTACTATAATTGCCACACCGTTCCCGACGTGCTAGGTATAGTAGTAGCGCCCTTCTATGAACAACGCTACTACTACGGATTTTAGCTGCAGCGCGTTTTGCCTCCCCACGCTACCGTTAAAGCTATTTTCACCTAACCCCCCGCGCGGCCTGATTCCCTCTCCTCTGCTTCCTCCCCCAATTCTCCTCTACTATTCCTCGTCACCTCCGCCTCGCCGCCGTCTCCCCCGACCCCGCCTCACCGCCGTCTCCCCCGACCCCGC